CCCTAAACCCTAAACCCAACAAGCCTAAAACCCTTTAACGGTTTATAGAGCTTACGACCCCAAAGCCTGAAGCTCTATAAACCCCCACTTAAAGCCCCTTGGTGGGCCCCAATACGGTTGATGATATAAAACCTTAGCATTATCTTAAGGACCCTAAAATATGGGAGTTATGGGTATCTTCCTTACTATGGGTAATGCAGGATTTATATCATCAAGTGTATGGACCCTAAACAACAGGAGTCTTGTAAAAGACTCAGTGCACTGTGCTCGAATCAGCATTCAATGAGGAGCTTGACCGTAGAACTAGCCCTAAACCCTAAACCCGCCGAAATTTCCAGGGTCTACGATATAGAAGGCTTGCCATTGGGCTGTTCTTCAGCCCCGGCTGCTAGCTTAGAACTCGAAGCTCGTGAGATGCCCCGTACCCCTTTTAGGGTTTAGGGTTTAGGGGCCCTAAACTCCAAAACAATGAACCCTAATTTAGGGGTCAGAAGAATTGCTAATTGCTCCTAGCATCTCCTGATAGCCCTTAAAAAACTCTACTATGAATATACCCTATAAGCCCTACTCTAAGTTGGATTAATGCGGCCGCTATACACCCAAAACCCTACTCTAGTCAGTGTTGATGAGGCCCAGTACTTACCCCCCTCCCCAGATCAGCGGAAAGCTTCGTAGCGCAGACAGGGAGCTGTAGATCACCGACCTCGAGCGCGCTGACTTACCCTAGGCGTCTACTTAAAGGAAACTACAGGTGGGGGGTTTAGGGTATACAGGGTTTCCATAAGGCTTCTATAAGGTATATAGACCTTCTACGAGGCTCCTATAACGGTAACTACCCACCTGAAGATGTCCTAGAGGTCTACTGACTCACAAGTTTACACAGGTGTTTGAAGGCTGAAAGACCAGACGACTTGAGGGATAGGGGGCTTTTTGGCTTGAGGGCTTGAGGTGGAGTTTAGGGTCTCCAGTGAAAGAGCACATGAAGGTAACCACCACTGTTAATGATATGAATCCTGCGTTACCTTAAGGACCCCAAACTATGGGACTTATGGTATATCCCGTATTATGGGTAATGCAGGATTTATATCATAAACCGTACAAGCATTAACGTGCCCGACGAGCAAGCACCAAAAGCTGTGATGAAATGTTCCCCATCCTAATTACGATTCACATGTGAACTGAGACCCTTTATCGCACGTGCCAGGGCGATTACTTCGATAAACAATCATAAAGCTCTTATGTGGAATCTTCCCGTGTTCTGCGTCAGCGAGTGGCCAAACATCTACCGCATATCACACCACCATTCAACTATCAAATTGAATCCCACACTCCAAAACATGCGGCCGAATCCGAGTTCAGGGTTTAGAGTTTGGGGTTTAGGGGTTTAGGGTTAGGGCTGCCACAGCAGAACTCATCAGAAAACCCCGAATATCGAGAGAACCTCCACCCGATGACTCAAAGCCCAGTAGCAGGTACTCCGGATGCTCCTCATGGTACGCCCGCAGTGCCGGGCTGCCGCGCTTGAGAACTGAAAGAAGCAAGTCCTTCAAGATAGTGCTTAGGAGAGTTGGAGGTGAGGGTTTATGGCTGGGTAACCATAATTCCCACACCCATCCCAAGTCCTAATTCATGCCAATGGCACAAATTATCAGACTTAATTAATATCCAGGCTCCACGCGAGCGAAGAGGTCACCGGAGGGGCGTATGTTAACAAGAACATTCTTGGGCGGGGGGTTGCTATGTGGTATATGGATTATTTGGCTTTGATGGGGTTTTAAGGCTTAGGGTCTTGGGAGTAAGCACAAAGACCTTATATACGACGGTGCGAGAGCCCAAATGTTCAATACCAATATTGGGGCACCCTCAAGGCGACAAGCAGTTAGAGTTTGCTGTTAGCTTCTTCCTTGCCCATGCCAAAAGCGGACCATGTTCGCTAGAAGATAGGGCTGCGTAGCCCATTAAATTCTGCTTTGTCATTAGCAACGTTCGCTTATGTTTGTCGATTACTATATGTGTACACAAACGATAAACAAACAAAAAATACGCATGTGTAGCCCATTAAATTCTCCTTTGTCATTAGCAAAGCTCGCTTATGTTTGTCGATTACTATATGTGTACATAGACAATAAACAAACAAATAAATACACATGTGTATAAACAAAAATATATATATATATATATACATACATATATTTGTATAGCTATATGTACAGACACACACACACACACACGCACACGCACATACCCACACACACACATATATATATATGTATATGCACACATACCTACATACGAAGAAACATACTTACGTACATGTGTATGCCCGTGCACCGGCACAAACATGAGTATGTATATCTGTAAATTTACACGGACCTATCCACACAGAGTCCAAACCTGCTTCCACGTAGCGATGTCTTGCTTTGCACTATGCTCAAGTTGTGCTAGCAGCCATGCAGGGACCACTAGACCCGAGACTCGAAACAACAGCAGGCGGCAGAGCGCGGTAATGCAGGAATCGGAAAACACAGACGTTCTGCGATTGATTCGTCGGGTTTGCTGATACATCCTGAGTATAAGTATAGTAGAACATGTCCCGATCAATATGGCCCGTACACTACTTTTAATGTCTCTCGGGAGCACCGGTTGACTTACATCCTGTGCTGAGGTACTCTGAAGGTATGCTGCATCCTGGGCGTGTTCGCCATGATGCATCGTGGATGCACATGCAGCGCCGGTGTCGTTAGGTTCCACGGATCTTTAAGTCGTGCAGAGGCACCGGAAGTTTTAGTTTTGGGCTCAACCAAGAACTGGAAGAACACCTCACCTTTCCTTCCTGGCAGTTTCCACATGAAAGTCCATCTGAGGTTCTGGAAACAGCTTTCCCGGCTTTTCAGACATCTTGCTACGAAGGCTCCTGCCAGAGCGAAGAGCAAGGAAGCGTGAGGCAAACATGCAATCGACGCGGATGAAGCAGCCGGCCCAAACAGGTTGAGCATGTTGCATGTTCGTTTTAGCATGACAACCTTCAGGTGCATGCGATATTTTTCGTGTACACAGCCGGCGATTGCATGGCTCTAACTTGCCGATTTAATGCCACCACGCGGCGGGGCACACAGTGTCACCACCTTTTGCATATAGCGTAGATCAGAGATCCATCGTCTCGATGGTGCCTTCAGGGAGTGTTGCGGACATCTGAAGCAAACGGATGACACCTGCCCGATCTTTCTTAGTTCTTCATAGTCAATATGGGCCACGTTGTCCGTCTTAGCTAAACGAAACCTTGAATCCAGGCAATACTCGCCTAGAAGACTTTTAATCATAGCCGACAGCGCCCGGCTGAAGTGTCACCAGATGTGGAAGTTAGACCGCGTCGGTGACCTGAAGCTGGAGCTCTCCTGCGAGCGGAACAGAAACAGGGGTGCTCGTGCCATCAGGCCGTTTTCAAAGAGATGCCTGCACCATAAGTTTGACCCTCGCTTCCGTTGCCACGGCTTTGACTCGTTTGTGCACCCCTGGTTGCACCCTCCCTTGCCTTCCATATCTAATGATGGGTGCGATCGGGTGCGACCTCGTGAAAAACGAGGTCGCTCCCGGTCGCACCCACGACGCCTTCCACATAAATAACGGGTTGCGACGTCGTAAAAACAAGGTCTCGCTCGGTCGCACCTCCATAACGTAACAAATCAGGGGCGCGACCCGTCGCATCCACCCTTGCCTTCCATGACGAATGAGGGGTGCGGCAGGCGACCTCGAAGAAAAAACCCGGTCGCACCCACGCACGCCTTCCATAACAAATGATGGGTTCGACCGGGTGCGACCTCGAAGGTCTTTGGACCCGGCACACAGTATGCACCTGAGCTTGAGGGTGAGCTTGTGATTTGCTGCTGTTTAGACCTGTGGAAATCTGGATTCGCATAGAGCCCTCGACAGATGCAGCGGATTACATTCCCTTTCCTCAAGACGCCATTTTGCAGCAAACGCTCGTGTCCCAGCCCAGTCCTCGCCATGTCTTGGCACTTCTTGTTCCTGATCCTGGCGTTCGCCGACTCCGCATCCATCTCATGCGACCAAGAGTCGGCAGAAGATGCTTTTGTCCAGTTGTCCCCCGCCCATGCACGCAAGCGTCGAACGTCGGAGTCGAATCTCAAGATCCAGCTTCTGGGCGCTTTCACGGGCGGGAAGCTTTGTGGGCAGATCGTAGCTACACCTTGCACAAGTCCAACACTCGATGTGACGGACCCAGTAGTCTCGCTGTGCTGCGAGCAGTTCAGTTTCCGAGAACTAGGCGATGTTTGTGAAGACTTCACTCCAGGCTGCCAGGCGCAGAAAGCCGCCTGCGAGATGGCCCTCTTCTTGTGCGACGACGCAAATCCCTTGCTGCAACCGCAGTTCTTCGTTGAGCCTGGCACATACCCCTGGAACTCACAGTTGTCAGACATGGGAGGTTACAATCTGAACCTGTGGCAAGCTCTGCAAAATCTTACGGCCATTTGTTTTGGTGATGGTTATGAGTGGCTTCGATCTCAAAGCAACTACATCAAAACCAGGTCGGGCAATGTTGACAGAGCCTGTCAGGGAATCGGTCAAGAGTGCGAGCTAGACCCCAAGTCGGCAGATAGCACAGAGGAAGGCGACGAATCTATGGAGAGAATGCAGCACATCTTGGTGGAAAGTGGTACAGCAGCAGGTGGGCTGGTCATTTTGGCCGCAATGGACTTTACGCCGGCAGGGGCCATCGCATCCACAATTTTCAAGACCGCAATGGGACTTGCACTGGAAACGACGAGTGGACCTCCCACCAACCCCTGCACCTATGCTGGGAAGGACTGGGGTCAGTGCGTGTGGTATCAAGTCCGACAGTACGTAGAGAGGTACGTGACCAGCTATGTCAAGGAAGCGCTGGAGAAGTACAACGAGGGGCAACTTGAAGATAGGCTGAGGCAAATCGATACTCAGGTCAATCGGGTCAAGCAGGACTACAGGGATCAAGTCCGAAGTAACGAGTCGCTTGAAAATGTCATCGAGGAGCTGCAAGACTTACGCAGCCGCCTGGTGGGTGAAGCAGCATGGTTTTTGGACAGCGAGCTGCTGCCCCAGATCTTCGGTATCAGCGTGACTGTGCAGACACTGGCTCTATCGGCAGGGGATCTTCAAACCGCCTCGAGCCTCATGACCCTCCCGGCCAGTGCGTTGTGCTTTGCCAAAGCTCTCCTCAAACGTGGCACCTACTTCATGCAGAACCGGATGTCCGAGCTCAAGGCCACCCAAGTCAATCGGACCAGTCTCAGGGGGGATGGGCACCATTGGCGTTACTATTACAAGGGTCAGTTCGATGCACAGTGCCAAACGACGGAGCACGATGCCCTCAAACACAGCCCCTACATTTGCGACCCCGGGTACGGCGTTTCAAACGCACCCCATCATACCTTCCCCCAGAACCTGGGCTCGAAAACTGAGAAGCCATCATCACGGCTACCAAGAATATTCGCAAGAGGGAAGTTCTTCTATATTCCTCCTTGTTTGTGCACTTAAAGATACTTTTTGCAGACCAAAGCTCAGGAACCGCCAGGGTGAGGGTGAGTGCGGCGTCTCGCAAAAACACGGCCATCCCCGTTGGAAAGAGTGGCTGTGCCACCAGGACCACTTTGGATTGGGCTTTAGGGTTGTAGGGTTTTAGGGTTGAGGGTTTTAGGGTTTTAGGGTTGTAGGGTTTAGGGCCTTAGGGTTTCTCGGGTTTCGGCTTGAGCCTCTAAGGTTCTCTGTGAGTGCCTTTAGGGTTTAGGGTTTAGGTTTTGGAGAAACAGTAAATGCATGCCCGAAACCCTCGATGAAGCCTGCAGGGATAGGAAGCAAGGAGAGCTAGCGCAGAGCTTAGGATACGGTTGATGATATAAATCCTGCATTACCCATAATAAGGAATATACCATAATTCCCATAGTTTAGGGTCCTTAAGGTGATGCAGGATTTATATCATCAACAGCAGTGTGTGGGGTTTAGGAGTTGCTGTGGTCAGTGCACATAGGGCTCCTTCGGATTTCGGTGCGGTGCGGAGCTTTACCGCGGGGAGACTAGCACCGAAAGCCCTATTGCAAGTACTTGTAGCTTAGAGTCCTTAGAGTTGGGGCTCGATGAGTCGTTCCCAAAGATCGGAGCCATGTGAGGCGTATGTCCGACGGGTGCAACAGAAGATTTGGGCGCGCTTCGTGGGTTCCGTCGTGAGCTTGGTTGAGCTAGCTCTGAACCAGTCTTCCATGTCGAAGTCTCTTGGATTTGATTTAGGAGCCTTCCGAAGTCAAGGTGACCCATCCCTGGAACTGTTTGGAATTCAGTTTGTTTGTGTTCTATTCGGGCCATCGTATTTTCCAGAAGGGCCGCCACCCTACGCGCTAAGCCACTATATATATATATGTATATATATTTAAGCCTTACAGCGAACCCGTAACCGGTTTACAAGAAAACAGACCCGAAGCCCGAGAAAAGAGCCCGAAACCCTAAACCTAAAAGATGCCATTTTGGCTCAAGACCTCTTCTTGAAGGGATCGCGGGCAGAATGCTTAACATGCCCAAAACTTGCAAGGGTATTTCCTGGAACCCTAAACCCTACACCCTAAACCCTAAACCCTCGGAGTGTCGTCTTACCTGCAGACACGGAGTAGGTGCTCCCCTTGCGTTGCTTGTTTTCTCGCTCTCCGACTCCTGCCCTGATTCTCATGTCCGAGGAATCGACAGTGCCCTTTGGGGCCGTCTCCCCCCACTGTGCTGGACCGACTCAGGATGATGAGGTGATGAACGTGCCTGGGGGGGATGACGATGTGCGTGTGGTTGGTGAAGGCCCGGATGAAGGGTATGGTCTCAGGCGAATGCTTCCGCCGGAGGGGGATGGGGAAGTTGAACGTGTGCCGGGATCTCTGAACGCCCCGCCGCCAGTTGCGGATAGCAGTAGAGAAAGAGGCCGAGAGAGAGAGAGATTTGAGCGAGGGGCCAAACCACGAGGCACGCGACAACCTCCTAGCCCTACAACACAAGAACTGACTGATGCCGCCATCGCAGCGGAGGCGCTGATGGCTGCTACCTCTCCGCTGCCCCTCAACACTCCTAGTGTCGATAGTGTCCGAAACCTCAAGCAAGCCGAAAGCCCTGAGAAAAAACAGAAGCTTGCTACTAAGATGCCCAAAAAGCCGGTGCCTGCAGCACTGCCCAGCGCGCCGGCATTTGGGTCGTCTGCTCCCTCCGCTATGCCACCTGAACCTTCCCGGCACCCTCCTCTGTTCCATGGGACTAGCCCGCAAGGGGCCGCTCCACAGGCTGCTTTGGCTGTCAATACTGGTGGTCCTCAACACTTCAGGCTCGACGTGGAGCCTGTGTGGCTCCAAGGGCTGCAGCAGGAACTGCACACTATCGTGCAGACGCAGAAGCAGATGGCTCAGCAGATGCAGGACTCTGGGAGGGACCTTAGTAGAATTCAGGAGGGGATTAGGAACCTCAGTGTTGGACAGGAAACGCTCACGAAAAGAGCTGATGAACAGGAAGCAGCACTTGCACAGATGCGTAAAGAGTTCAAGGAGCTTGAACGTGACTTGCAGGAACTGAAGAGTGCTCCGCCTACTCGAAACGTGAGCCCCGTTACAACCCCCCGTGGGACCCCCGCACGCTCTAACAGTCCTCGATTTGACAGTGATGGTCAACGCGAGGTAGACGAGATGCAGCTTGTAGTCGGCGGATGGGTGGAAGCGAAGAGGGAACATGTTGAGTCAGACGTGCGAGCCATGTTCGAACAGCTTAACGCATTGCCGCTACTCAAGGCTGTCTTCGTGCCGTATGTTAGGAGCAGCTTTTGCCGTGTGGAATTGTTCTACACTGATGACAACATTTGGGCGCAGCGTAAGCTACAAACTATGGTTTTGCAACATCTGAAGGCGATGACTTTCGTGTCGCGAGCGCCTGGACAAGAGCGATCCACCTTTTGGTTCTCCCGTAATAGAACCCCCAGGGAGAGAGCAAAGATTCGAGCGATTCTCCAGGTTCAGAGCCTCTGTCAAAAATATCTCGGCGATCACGCTGTAGATCGGGACTGGCGAGGAAAGGTATGGGCAAATGGCACCCAGGTGCTGTTCCATATCGAAAAAGACCGACGTCCAGAGCAAACGCTTATGCTCGGGGAAATGAGACCGGATGGTTTCTTAACGTCAAGATGCTGGAGGCGCGGCTTGGAGCATCCCAGGAGGAAATCCTGCAGTTCTTCGGGGCTGAATAGGGATCGGGAGGGAGAGCGATGAATGGAGGTGGCTCTTACGGGACACAGTCAGGGGTCACGGACTCAGCGCTGAATGTGTGGCATGCCACTCCCCGATGCACTGAGGCAACCCCCCCGCGGGCAGCTGAAGCCTTTAAGTTTCATTGCATGACCTGGAATTTACATGGTAAAAGTATTGACCATGTACACACACTGCTCGACAAATTGGAGCAGCCGTCGCATGTCATGTTTTTTCAAGAAGTGGGAGATGTTCGTGATGTTGAATTAGGAAAGCATGCAGAGAGGCTTTTTCAGATTGCAGGAAAGGACTTTGTTGGGTACATTGCGAATCCAATGCTTTGCCACAGATGCACGGTAATACTCGTTGCATGCGAATTGGAATTTAAGTTGCATGAGGTGCATGTGCATGATTGTGGAGTCAGTGTTAGAGGAGGCATGCTACAAAGGGGGTGGTTTCTCTCTTCTCTGCATCTGCCGCATGCTCACCGACCGGACTCCCTGGACACCTGGCGCTCGACGCTGAGCCAGGTACAGGATGCACTTATGTTGCAACGTAGGGCTGGGGAGGTGCTCATTGGGCACGATCTTAACCAGGATGCTCATGCTCATGTTGATTCTTTCGATGGCATGCTCCACTATAGACAGTTTGTGGCCCAGGCAGGCCTTGAAACCAGCCCCCCCCAAGGGGCTACTTGGATAGCTAGGGGGTCCGAATCTTGCATCGACTTTCTACTATACAGGTTGACTGGGGCCGAGCTGAGCTTCTGGAAGAGACCTGACCTCAGAGTGGCGCTTCCGTCGGATCACAACCCCATCGGAGCGACGATGCTATTTCGTTCTGTGGCATCCATTCGCCATCGCAGGCCTAGGCAGACCTTTTGTGGCAAGTGGAATCTCGATGTGGACGAATTGTTTGCACAACTGCAGGACCAGGACACGTGGGATCAGGGGTGCATCGCAGCTGCAGCCCGACAACCGGGTGTGTCGTCTCGACCGGCTTCGCTGAAGTATCAAGATCCGCCTGAGGTGAAGGAATTGATAGATAGGCGAAAGAAGATGTGCGATGTCGATTCTAAAACTGCACTGATGCAAGAAATACATCTCTTGCGTCGGCAGGCTCGACAGGACCATAAGAGCTCTTTGTTGGAAAGAGCTAAGCAAGGAGATTGGAAAGCTATAGCCCATCTCAGACGGAGTGCAGCTGGGTCCTTCACTGACGGTTCTTACATACAGCGCGCGGGAGGACTGGCTCAAGCAGCTAAGGATCTTCATTATTTTTACTTGCAGAAGTATTCTAGCACTGAGGCAGCTCTGTCGGGGCAAGAAATGCAGCAGCTGTTCGACATGCATGCAGGTCAACCTGTTGTGCCCGTGACAAGGCAAGAGGTCAGTGAGGCACTGGCAAGGTGCAAGAATGGAGTGAGTGCGGGACTTGATGGGGTCACGTTTGAAGGTTTGAGGGCTCTCGTGACCAGAGACGAGAGAAATCGGATTCCTGAGTACTTCACCAGGCTCCTGAAAAGGGAAGTCGAGGTACCTAAGCTGTGGCTGCGGGGCAAGATTGTCTTCCTTCCTAAAGTTGCCCGCCCCAGCGGCCCAGGCGACCTCCGTCCCATCTGTCTTGTTCCGACACTTAGCAGGCTGTTTGCTAAGATCGTTATGGAAAGACTACGTAGAGCTGCTCCAGAGTATGGGGCGAATCAGCTTGCGTGCCGACCAGGCGTACAGGTTCTCGACGGAATCACTGCAGCGCAATCGGTAATGACTCTGGTTCGCAGGACGACAGGATCTCCCTGCAAGGTCGCTAAACTCGACATTAAAGCAGCCTTCGACTCGGTTTCACACAGGGCCATACTTCGATGGCTGCTGGAGTGTGCGCCATGTGCTGAGGCGATCCAGCTTGCCAAACTCTGTTTTGGCACGTCGGTTGTGGTAGGAGTGGGAGGGGTAGAGAGGACGCTTGAACTGCAGAGAGGGATCATGCAGGGCTCAGCTTTTTCTGCAGATGTGTTCTCTCGTTTGATGGACTGGGCTCTCAAACCACAGACGGAAGAGATGGAAACACTCTTTCCGTCCTGGTCAGAGTCCATTCAGGGTATCCCACATTTCCTGATTTATGCAGATGACCTCATCGTTTTCGCGGATTCGGAAAGAGCCTTGCAGACTAAGGTGACAATGTTGATTCGAGCTCTCCAGCGGATAGGTCTTGAGGTCAACCCCGCCAAATGCAAAGTCCTGCATGAACCTGGGGGCGAGACGTGCCCGGGCATTTGGCTCCCTGCGACAGCATGCCCACTGAAAGGAGAGGACCAGCTTGTGTTCCTCGGAGTCCCGGTGGGGCATAACGTAGGAGCGTCCGTTATCCTTTCTCACTTGCTTTGAAAGACGAATAACACGTTCTTCGCGTTTAAGAGGCTTCTTGATGATTCGGGGACCGCACTTGCGTTGAGACTCAATTTATTCGATTCATTTGTGACGGCCAAGTGGCAGTGGGCGGCACCGGCCCTGTTCCCGGATCAGAAGGCATTGCGTCAGATCGAGTCACATAAAAATACTTACTTGCTGTCTATTTGTAGGGTCGGCACAGACCCCCTCATGCACTGGGTCGACAACACGATCAGCCGACGGAGGGCTGTGCGACTGATGTGCTCGCTGGCCAATGGGCCAGACTGGCGGCGAGTCTGGCTTAAGAGGTTCTGGAGCTACCATGGTCATTTAGCACGGTGTCAGATTTCACATCCGCAAAGAGTCTTGGTGGGTGTGTGCAGTTCGGCGAACCTTGCGAGGGGGCTCAGAGCCTCTTGGATCGCTGACCTGTCCATCCGCAGACTTCAACGAGTGTATGTGAAATTGCTTGAGAGTGA